TAAGATACAGAGGGTTTATTTAAAAACACGGACAGTTGAACTCGTAGAAATGCTCTAAAAAAAGGCCGCTAAGATTGTCGTCTTCTTCACTCGCCTGCGCTGCGCCTCCCGAGCAAATCCGCGATCTTCGTTGTCGTCGCTATCTCGCAGCTAGACGCAGCTATGCACGCGGTATTACCCTTCCGCTAGAGCGAGCGTCGTCCCGATGCTCACTAGGTAGAGATGCGGCTAGCGGGTGTTCACATCACTCAGAGTGGTAAAGTTTCATGCAAACCACGTGCACTGTCTCAGGCAGATGCTGGCGAAATTTCGAACAGGAGGAGGCGTCGTGCATGACTTCGTACATCACGTCGCTAAGACGGCGCAAAACCTTGTAGGGTCCAAAGTATCGGTGTAGGAGTTTCTCCGAGAAGCCTCGCCGTCGTACAGGAAAACAAGCCCAGACTCCATCAGCAAGGTGGCAAGGTGGCAAGTTGGGCTAGTTGGATTACGTTCATGCACATGCGCGAAAGACCATGTATCTGCTTTAAATACCTTTTCTGTTTCATAAACCTTCAGTTGTGAGAGCAAGCGCTGTCCTTGTCAGCCTCTTCTGTCCGTCCGTCTTTAGTGCGCCTCAACAAAAAAAAATTCAACCAGATTCCATCGCCTGGTTCATAAGCGACGAATCGATAGCGAAGGTTGTAGCGTTGGGCGTAAAGTTGCTGCTGGTTGATTATTCTTACGCGGGAAAGCTGCCTTGCTTCCTCGGCGCACTCAGTGAAGTCTGCGGCGTCTGTCTATGAATCATTGCAATCGTAAAGCAGCATGGCGTCAAGCATTGTAGTAACTTCCCATCATCCCCCTTCACCCTTCTTTCCTTCCCCTTTCCCTTATCCCCTGTGTAGAGTAGCAGGCTAGAGCGAACTAGCTCAGGCCGACCTCTCTGCCTTCTATAAAATTCTCACTCTCTCTCTCTGCCAAGAATTAGTGCAGGCGAGTAAAGAAGACGACAATCTTCACCGTTACTACCTTTTTGCTACCCGGCCATTGACTATCTAATCTAAAGTAATGGGTAATGTCTATTGTATAATTTATAAAGGGAGTCTTCTCGACAGAAGACATCTACAGATAAAAAAGGCATTTGTCGTAAATTACGCAACCGAGATATGCAAGCTTCATTCTGCTAGTATCAAAACCGAGAAGTACAAACTAACGGACCATAAGTAAGTGCTACACGCCTTGTTATAGCCAATCACAACAAACTTACTAAATTAGGCTGATTAGACTTAACCAGATGATCATAATTAATCCGGAGTTCCTAGTTACGGCGTGCCTAATATCGTGTTTTTGGCACGTAAAACCCAAGAAATGATTACTACCGTTTAATCATCGACATATTAGCACAGTGAGCCGTTCAAATGCAACGGATAGAGCTATGGTAATAAGTTCACTAGTTTCGGTTGATGTAAATAACACTTTCTTGACGCACAACCAGCTGGTACGATATAGAGCTATAGGCTCATATTTCTTTATAGTTCATCCTGAAAGTCAAGTGTTAACTGGTACTCGAAACGCAACTTCAAAGCAGGGGCTTGCTTTACTCCGGTAATTGTTTACGTAGTATTGTAGTGCTGCGTCCTTGTTAATTCTTGGCCAATGGGATGGCTTTATGCTCTCCCATAGTAGAGTACCTAGTAGTCTGAATTGTTACCCACTTTTTCTAAACACACGTTTCTTCTTTGTTGCAGTTGAATGTCGTAAACTTACTTGTATTACGGAAAGACGGGCTAGTTGGTTTTGCAACATACTGAAGCGACATGTCGTAAACCATAGTAGAGTACGAAGTACTAAAAATTGTTCACCACTTTTTTTAAACACACATTCTTCGCGTTCATGACACTCCACGCAAGATTACCTGATGTGTGCTAATGAGAAATTAAGTGACCAGTATTAGCCATGTAGAAATAAGGTAGCAGAATGAGCACGGTAGTATCGGTTACTACTTTTTTAGTGGCGAAGCTCCTTAAAGCGCCCCCCGATCGTCCTCTGTAGCAACCACCTCTCTCAGGTATGATTGATTGAATGACTGAAAACTTTATTGGACTATTGACAATGTGCTCCCGCTTGTTGTTTTCAGCACCATGGTAAAAAACAAAAAAACTCCGGTGACCTCAAACTGATCAGCTTGTTACTGCTAGGCAGGGAATAGCGATCGTGTACCAGGCAGCGCACCACAAGTTCAGCCTGGCTTTGATGAGTGGGTCTTCAAGTATCTAGTTGGTAGTCTACTCGATGTCTTGGTGTAGGTGAGGTCTTTCTGGTATGTGCCACAGTGTAGTTTAGTTCTTGTAATGTCCGCTAGATGGCGGTACTTTTATATAATCAATATATGATGAAAAGATGCGAGATGGTGGTACTTGGAGTGTTCACAAGACGAACGGACATGCAGACAGACCTACACACACACGGACGGACAGATCGACCCACGTTTGGACAGATAGATGGATGCACGAACGGACGGACGAACGCTTCGCTCCATTTATCATTAATCCGTCCGCGGATGTGCTCTAATTTTTTTTATTTATACCTTTAATAGTTACTACCTAAGGTTAGTAATGGCTAAGGTAGTGCTGTTGGTAATGGCAAAGGTGGTAACTGTTAACCCCCTCGCCGTTTCTAACTGACTATTTCAAAGTTAGCAAGTACTACTTTTTTAAGAGTGTGCGATAAAATTATTATGCGAGGTTTAACGTCCCAAAACCACCATATGAATAGGAGAGGCGCCTTAGTGGAGGGCTCCAGAAATTTCTACCACCTGGGGTTCTTTAACGTGCACCCAAATCTGAGCACACGAGCCTACAACATTTTCACCTTCATCGAAAATGCAGCAGCCGCAGCCAGAATTCAATACCGCGACCTGCGGGTCAGCAGCCGAATACCTTAGCCACTATAGACCACCATGGCGGGGCTGCGATAAAATTAGGCAAGAAACGCTTTCGCGACATAACCTGACGTAATAAAACGAGTAAGTTGAGTGAGTTGGCGTTATCTGCCACGTCATAGAAACCTTATCTGTAAGTTTACACTACCTTGAGCTGTTTTTGCTTTTCACTATATCCATGTGTTTTAGACAAGGCCAAAAGTGTTCCGACACAAACACTACCATTCCTTCTTCAGTCTTTTCAACCTCCTGGGAGCGCGTTATCAGGCTGAAGCCCTTTATGCTTACCCGGCAGTTTTTACGCAGAAACTGTTTTCCATCTGAACCGCTTTGGAAGCATATTCCTGGCCACTTTTCGTGATCCTTTGGAAGCCCCCCCCCCCCGATTTTGCTCCTATTATCGCAACAAAATGTTTCAACAAAATGAGCAGTAACCAAAGATGATATGGGCGCCCAGATAATTCGCATTCTGTTAAGTAGATTTCATAATCCAGAGTAATGGTCTACAATACTTTACTTGCTGGTTCCGTCTATGCGAAGTACATTTCGCATAGACGGAACCAGCAAGTAATATTTATAGAGGTAAGCGTTTGAACGCACTTGTTCTCCATCCACTCTGTTTATAGGCACCGATTTGCGCATGTCCATGTTTTAACGCGATAGCGTTAAAACGTTTCGCAGAAACTCAAGCTTTGGCATAGGCGTTGTTGGTTGAGAGCCAGAAATCATTCTGTCTATGACCGAAAAATTGAGAAAAATTGCAAATATAAAATAAAAATTTTCGGTTCCTAGGCAGGCTCGAACACAGGCCGTTTGCGTGGCAAGCGGTTGTTCGGGTATCGCAGTAGTTCTGTGCGGTACAACTCTACATTGCCATAGGGCATTAGAACATACGGATATCATAATGGCTTCATGGTTTAAAGCCTGCCACCTATTGCAAAAGGTAGACAAGTTACTGCGCGTGTTCCCTTAAAGACAACATTTCACATGCATATTTACTCGTGCATAGTTGAAAGCAAGCTACCCATTACACAGAATGCAGCCTTATGCGATGGCTTCATCGACACAAGCCGCTTCAAACTTTATCGCTTACATTGTGTATTACTTTAAACTTCTCGAGTAACATCACACAACAAAGTATGCACTAAATGGTTGAAGTGCGCACTAGGGTCAGGATATCGCTATCGCGCTCGCCCCTTAAAGTCGAAGCTCAAGGGGTCGGCCGATTTTTTTCGTATCTGTCGTCATACACGAAGAATGAACAAACTTGCCCAGCAACATGTATTATGGAGAACCCTCCCACACTGCGTTGCGTGTTCCGTTACGACCACAACAGGGGTTAGAGGTCATGTTCGCTGGTATAGACAATTCAAAATTTCTTTACTTCACAAAACCAAGTTTCGCAGTGTGCAGTACTGGTGTTCGCTACTGGCCTGAGTCACACTAACACAGGCACCTGTGCATTAACCGAGTGATATTACTCCGCAGTTCACATCTTCACCAATTCTGCTATTTTTTTATGTCTAAGCTGCTTGACGCTCATGGTGTAGCTGGTAGAATTTATGTCCGATAACTTAATTACAGATAGTTTACAATGAGCTTTACGGACACTTGAAACGCAACGCAGCTCAATTACTTGAAATCTTGCCCGGCGCCTCTGCAATGCTCTACCTATACTCAATAATGGCGCAGAACTAGAGCCCAGTTTCAATGACACAGGTAGCGAATGGGCTGCAACAAGTGTAGCCAAGCGTTATAGGCTGCAATTGAGTACGCCGTACGTCTAGGACGTCTGTTTAATCACTTATATCATAATCGAAGTGTTTCCACAATATACACAATTTTTTCAGGACATTCGAAGAGTGCGAGCACTCGTAAGTGTATGAAGCCCTGCTGTCCGAGTCGAAGTAGTTGCTAGTGTTATCAATCATCTATGGGTGTGCGGGCAATTAAAAGACAGAAAGGAACAGATAGAGATCGAAAGGAGGAAAGGATGACAGCTGATAACTAAATACGAAAACTTTCACAAAAAAAGAAGTATTGTTATTAAAATTCGTCGAAGACACAGCCGCAGTGACTAGCGCTCGGCACTGGCGGAGAAGCGCCTGCAGACGTTCAGGCCCCTCACTGTGCAGGCGGCCATTGCAGAGACTGCTTCATTAAGCGGCACCATGGGACGCCAGCTGTCAGATGATGGGTTGTAGCACTCGACCTCAGCTGTGATGCCCATGCCTGGGGTTGGTCGGGACAGGAAGGAGTTAGTAACTGTTAGCAAAGAATCGTTAAATAGCTTGATGCAGCAGCAGTGGCGGCGGTGCTCGTCGTCATAGCTGTAGTAATGGTAGTACTAGTACTAATTCTAGTACTACCAATATTATTACTAGTAGAAGTAGTAGCAGTAGTACTTGTAGTAGTCCTATAGGATCAGTAGCAGTACCTAGTGCAGTAGTAGCAGCACCAGCAATATTATCAGTACTGGTAGTACTGATAGTAGTTGCTGTAGTACTAGCAGAAATATTATTATATCAAAAAAGGGTTGTATACACGTTGAGTTGCAGCAGCAAAATATACACACGTGGACAAAAGAAAGTAACATAAGAACGCTGCTTTCCAACGCTAATGCTTTCTTTTTTCTGGACGTATAGTTATTGATGCAACTACTCAATCCGCTACATCAAAAACTTGCCAAGATGCAGACCATTCGAAGGTTGTATGCAGTAGGTTGTTAATTAAACGCTTCACGAATAGTCTCGTATCGCTCATGGAAAGGCAAATTGATCTTACAAAAAAAAAACGTGGCCGATCCCTCTATATAGGAATCGTTATAACACGAAAGTGAAATGTGTATTTACAGAAATGACCATCTCACTCGAGACAACGCGCGTGCGAACGAGCCCAACCACGACCTTTTAATCAAAGTTCGCAGTCGCCTCCTGAATGACGCAGCCCTAAAACCGGCACAGTTTCATGCGCATTCGTAGGTCAGTCTGTGCTTTAACGCTGCTTGAGATGCGCCCGCCTGCGGCCCTCGGGATCTATAACTCATGCGTATTGCATGCGACTTGTGCGGCGAGGTTATCGATTTGAAGCTATTACGGAACATGACGGCAACGGTAACGGCAAAAATGCACCTTGAGTATCAATATGATAATATCGCTATAACACTTTACGATATATGTTTTTCTCCAAAAACACACCGCAACAAAAAAGTTCATGCGGCTTGTGACACATCAAAGCTATCACTCACCATCGAAGCCACCGATAACGTACAGCTCGCCGTCAAACAGCGCTGCGGCGAAGGTGCTCCGGGCGACCCTCATGGGGGACACATGACGCCACACAAGTGGCTCCTCCTCGTCTCCACTGCACACAACTAAGAAAGGGCAAAAAAAAGACCATTTCGTTAGCAGGGAAATCTTTTTTGAAGTCCTAGCGCTATTTGTAGACACAACAGAATCGTTCGGTCACTTACTGCACCCGCACTGGGAACCATCTTTCATTTTTCACGCCTGCCGCGATGCCTATTGTGTCCCTTTTTATGATTGATTGATCGATTGATATGTAAGGTATAACGTCCGCAAACCACCTGATGATTATGAGAGACGCCGTAGTGGAGGGCTCCGGAAATTTCGACCACCTGGGGTTCTTTAACGTGCACCCAAATCCGAGCACACGGGCCTACAACATTGCCGCCTCCATCGGAAATGCAGCCACCGTAGCCGGGATTTGGACCCGTGTCCTGCGGGTCAGCTGCCGAGTACCTTAACCACTAGACCACCGCGGCGGGGCCCCTTTTCATGAAGTTACTATTTTTAGCGTTAAGCATAATTTGTTTTTAAACCGCAAATACCCTATCGGGCATTGTAACAATAAGCAAAGTAATACAACGCAAACTATAAATATATATGTTCGAGTATACAGCATCTCAACAGATGTCACAGGTGATCAACAAATTGCAACTAATGTAACAAGAATAGAGGGACAAACTTGACGGCTCGTTTACTTTGTTAGAAACAATATTAATGACAACTTACAGACAATTATGCCAAGGAAAGTGACGCAACAAAAGCACCACTTACCATCGAAGCCACCGATGACGCACAGCTCGCCATCAAACGACGCAAAGAGGCGCCGTAAGTATTACCTCAGTTGGTAAAGCATCGTACGCCTTATTAGAAGGTCGCAGGTTCGGTATATGCCTACGGCAAGTTATGTTTTCATCTACTTCTTCCACTTTTATTCCTTCACATTTGCATTACAATTACTTCTAATAATATCTCCTATACTTTCCTTGGCATAAATGTATCTCAGTTCTCATTAACAAATGGAACAGTGGTTCTAGGTTCGAACGCGTACCAGCAAACCAAGGCGAAGCGACTAGCAAGCACAGACGTTCACGATAGGAGATTACAATCGTTTATTGAGACGTCTTCACCGGGAACACCATTTCGATGCTATACGTGTGGGTGTAGCTAGGGCAAGTTTGTTTGGTTTATCGTAATATCCTTATTAATGAAGTAGACAAAGTAAATCGAGCGTTGCGATGGATGTGTACGGGCTGTAAGAAAATCACTTAACCAGGTAATATTACTTAACTTCAGGAGCAGCAGAATTGCTCACACCAATATTATTATAAAGTAGTAAGACACTTAGAAAAACGCCCATTTCGGAGTTTTCAGCTTGCTAGCTTACTGCAGATGCCCGCGAAACACAAACTATATAATACGTGACGCGCTTCGTTGTGCGCAGTGATTACGTTGAATCGCTGTTGGCCAATCGAGATGTTGGGCACGTGAACATAGACCAATCGCAGTTAACACTTATGGAATAAAAATTTCTCAAATATGCGAGATACCTTCGTAGCAATTCGACCTGCCTCTTCGTAACTACGAAACCTTTGTCCAAATATGTCAAGCTTAGGAGCATCGTTGTTACTTCAAGATCATTTATGCTACCTATTCTTGATATGATATGCAGGGTTTAACGTCCCAAAACCACTATATGATTATGAGACGCCGTAGTGGAGGGCTCCGGAAACTTCGAACACCTGAGGTTCTTTAACGTGCACCCAAATCGGAGCACATGTCGGTATACAACATTTCCGCGGCCGCCGCAGCCGGGATTGCGGCCGCCGCAGCCGGGATTTAATCCCACGACCTGCGGGTCAGCAGCCGAGTACCTTAGTCACTAGACCACCACGGTGGGGCTGCTACCTGTTCTTCCACGTGAATCGGCAAAAGCGTTGAAATTGTGGAGAAGCCGCGGACGTTCGGCAAACGTACCTGAGCTTAGCCGTCGGCGTCCGTCGTATCCACCGAAGACGTAGATGCGCCCGCCGAGCACCGCCATCTGGTGGCTGCAGCGTGGATTTGGCAGCTGCTTCACCAGGCACCACGTGTCGTGGCTGGGCGTGTACACTTCTACACTGGTCAACACCTTCTGACCATTGAAGCCGCCAGTCACGTATATTCGGCCTGGGAAAAGGGAGTGAGTACAAGGAATCCCTCGTATCGGCTTTGTCGCAGCGTTTGCGTTAAATGATATAGTGCACAGTGCATAACCACCAAAGTTAGTACAATGGTACTCCCCTAAACAGCGACGTCGCAACAAAAAAAAGTGCAAAAAAAAGTGATATCGAGAGTGGATGGATGGACGGACGGACGGACGGACGGACGGACGGACGGACGGATGGACGGATGCATGGATGGATGGATGGATGGATGGACGGATGGACGGATGGACGGATGGATGGATGGATGGATGGATGGATGGATGGATGGATGGATGGATGGATGGATGGATGGATGGATGGATGGATGGATATGGCTGTACCCTTTAGATCGGGCGGTGGCTAGCGCCACCAAGCCATAATACTTAATGAATCAAGAACTAGATTTATTTTCCCCTTAAATAGTTAGGTTGAGGATTCGTACTTTGCAGTGAAGGGTTTAATTTTCACTCGTGCCTTGACTTTAGCCACCAATCAGATAACCTCCTTCTAGTTAATTCTACCCGCTTAAAGTCTATTTTGCCCTCCCTGTCCCTTAACCCCAGTGCTTTAAAAAAACTCTGCGCCATCATCCTGAACTATAGGGTGAAGCCATTTACAGAACATTATCAAGTGTTCGGCAGTTTCGTGTTCCTCTCCACACGCACTGCATACCGTGTCTACCCCTTCGTATTTGGCCGGATATGTCTTGGTTCGCAATACTCCCGTCCTAGCCTAAAACAGTAGAGAACTACCCCGAGTATTATCATGTGATCCTTTTCTTGGCAATTTCCTGCTTAAAAGTTCGATAGATCTCTAGTGCGGACTTCTTAATCACGCCAATTCTCCACATATCGGTCTCAGCTTCCTTCACCTTCTTCTTAACCGATAATTCTTTTTGGTTTGGCCCCCTGCTGTTTTCCAAGTATTTACCAGTCAATTTTCTCTTTCGCTTCCTCCATTTTGTATCGACATTCTTCATCTACAAGTAGCTCAATACCTTCCTAGCCCAAAGCTCCTTCACCATTTCTCTCAATCGCTTCTCAAATATTATCTTGCTGCTAGCTTCCCTGCCCTCAAATGATGTCCGTCCCATATCACCTTGTACTTCCTGATTTGGTGTATTCCCGTGAGCTCCTAAGGCGAGCCTACCTATTCCACGTTGCTTAATTTATAATCTTGCTTGAGCATCTGATCTCATGCATAAGTCCGCATTGCCGAACGTCGGTCCAGGAATCATGACCCCTTTCTATATTCCTCTCACAACATCATATCTATTTTAATTCCACAGTGTCCTGTTTTTCATTACCGCTGCATTCCTGTCACCTTTAGTCGACACGTATATTTCGTGTTCCCTTAGGTACTCGGCCCCATTGCTTATCCATACGCCCAGATATATGTATTTATCTGTTATCTCTAGCGTGACCTGCTTTATTCTCAGCTCACTACCTTCATTGTCATTAAAAATCATGACTGCTGATTTTTCCTAACTGAATCTGAAATCTAACATATCTCCCTCATTACCACAGATGTCCACCAATCTCTGCAAATATTCCTTGTTGTCGGCCATTACCACGATATCATATGCGTACATCAATACTGGAAGTGCCTCGTCAATGAGTTTTCTTTGTTTGACGAAAGAGAGGTTAAAGCCCAGTCCACTCCCTCTAATTCGGCCTCTAATCTTTGTAGGTACATCATGAATAACAGGTGTGACAGAGGAGACCCCTGCCTAAGCACCCGTTTTACCTCTGCGGGCTTGGATACCTGTTTTTCCTACTTTATAACTGCCTTGTTACCTTTATAGATATCCTTTAAACGATTAGTGACTCCATCTTCCACACCTAGTGTGTCCAGTATTTCCCACAATTCCTCTTGAACCACGCTATCGTACGCTCCCTTGATATCCAAATATGCTAGCCACAGGGGCCTCTGTTCTTTTTCTGCTATTTCAATGCACTGCGTCAGTGAGAACAGATTGTCTTCCAACCTCCTGTGTTTCCGAAGACCATTCTGCAGTTCCCCCAGCACCCCCTCATCCTCTATCTATGCCTGCAGTCTTTCCTTTATAATCTGCATCGCCAGCCTGTAGACCACTGATGTCACTGTTATAGGACGGTAGTTGTTTATGTCAGCTTTGTCCCCTTTTCCTTTATAGACCATGCTCATCCTGCTAAGTTTCCATCCATCGGGAACTTCTCCATCGATTATTATTTTGCTCACTGCCTCTCTCAAAGCCTGCTTAGACTCCGGCAGCATAATTGAAATGCCACCTGGGCCTGTTGATGTACTACTAGGAACCCTTTTCTCAGCCCTTTCCAACTCTTGTTGGGAAAATGGAGTCATTGCGTCACTTGATTCATCCTTGTCTATTGTGGTGCATAAAGCACTTATTTGTTAAAATTTTTCTGTCACCCTTGTTCTTATATATTCAATAGCTTCGTCCCCTTCTATCCTAGCACCTTTAGCTGTAGTTGTGAACCTCTGCTCTAGGCTCGTCTCATATTTTAGGGAGTTTAGATGGTTCAAAAATTTCGCAGCTGCCTTTCTATCTTTTTTATGTACTTCTGCCAGCCACTGAGCTCCCTTTCTTTTAATCTTTTCATTGATTAGAAGGGATGCATCCCTTCTACAGCTTAGAAAGATTTCCCATTTTCTTTTAACATCATCTGTCGGTTCACCCCGCCGCTTAGCATGTCTGTGTTCTCTAGAGGCTTCCTGACGTTTTGCTATGGCTCTCTTAACTTCCTCATCCCACCAACTTTTGGGTTTGTGTCTTTTTTTCCGGGGTGACTTGTCACGTGCCTTAGCAAGCTCTAGCTCAAACAGCATAATTAGATTCGTCTATGTCCACACTGTTTTATTATCCTCAGTGATTACTTTCTCAATTTGTTTAGTGGCTATTTCAATTTGCCTTTCTGAATAAAAATTTTCCTGTAGTTGCTCATCTTGTCTCTTTCCCACTTTCACTGCTCTTCCAAAACGTAGCTTGATACGTTTGTGATCACTACCCAGACTTCTCGAGCCACCTTCATCTATGTGCATTGCCCTGAGCTTATCATACATCCTATGTGACATCAGTGCGTAATCTATCGTCGACTGCAGCCTTCCTACCTCCCATGTTATTTGCCCTTCACACTTCTCGGTACTGTTGCAAATGATCAAATCAAGCCTTTCACACATATCCATGATCATTTTGCCTGTCGGGTCGGTATACCGATCTATATTTTCTATGTGCGCATTCATATCTCCTAGTATAATTATCTCGCACTCTCCTCCTAACTCCTGAATGTCATTTGATATACACTCTACCATTGCCTGGTTTTCCTCTCTGGCTTTTGCTCCCGTCCACAAGTACACGAAACAAAGGAGTGTCATTTGCCCTGCCACTTTCCCCTTTAGCCATAAATGTTCCTTGCACCCCTGCTTGACCATTTGCCAGTCTGTACTTTTATGAATGAATGCCCCAATACCACCCCCATTTCTGCTGCCTTCTGTTCTATTACAATATTCCCACATGTAGTCCACATTGTTAGGAGGTTGTTCCATGTCCCTGAGATGTGTTTCTACAAAACCGTATACCATCGGCCTCTCCTCTCTTAGGTGTTCTTCTATCTCTACCCACTTCAGCCTGTTCCTACCACCCTGCATGTGAATATACTCTATGTCTGAATTGGCTCGGCGCTCGTGGCTATGTCTAGTTCTGCCCCGGACTCTACCTATCTTAGATACTGGTGCCACTTTGGAATCGTATCTGTCCATACCACCTGTCAAAGAGTCTCCCTGGTTGTTTTCCTCGTTACTAGCTATTCTGCACCTCGAAGGGCCCGCTTGCCCCCCAAAAAAGCTACTGCGCGTCCTGCAAGTCGCCAACCCACCTCATGACCTAGCCGCCCATCGAAGTGAATTCTGTCTCGTTGAAAACCACCCCACCTATGCACTTCTGTTTATTTCCAACACCTCAAAGCCTTTCTCTCGAATCATCCGCCATATCTCTTGGTTCGCGTTGACAACCGCTCTTTGCAGGTTGCTATCACGCACCGGTACCTCCAGTATCGTGCATATCACTACCTGTACCTGAGGAGAAGTGGCGCGCATGTCATCGACGCCTTTCGCCAGTGTAGTTGCTAGTCCTGCTGTATCTTCATTTAAGACATCGTTTACACCACCTGAAATTATCACGAGGTTTCGTCTATCAGCTGTAGTTTTGAGTTTTGCGCTCGCTTGCCTCATGACTGGTTCCAGCTTGCGTCCTGGGAACGCCCCTACTGCAACCCTCTTGTCACCTCTTACCCTCTCTTTGATGGCTTCTGTGCATCGATTTAAATTCGAGTCCCCGGCGATTATCAGATGCTGTGACTTTTCAGCTGGAGCGTCCTGCACCTGGGGGTTACTTGCACCTGTGACGCCGGCTGCTTTGTCCTCTCCCAGCCCCACCACTACTTTGATGAAGCTGGACCTTGCGACAATTGAACCAGCTGATTCTGTTTTTTCCAAACTTGCTTGATCTTTCTTCTCGGCTGTTCTGGTTGCCGGTTCCCTACTGTTCTCTCCGTAGGCCGCTCCTCCGTTCATCTTGGCTAGTGCTTTCTCGGTGGACTTCAGCCTTTCTCCCATAGCCCTCGTTTTCTCTTGCGCTGTCGCCAACGCAGTCTCGAGCTCAGTGATTCTCATCAGCAGGTCACTCTGGGTAACCATCATTTTCTCCATTTTTTCCTCGACCTCACATTGCCTACACTTCGCGTCAGCCTCTTCTCCTTCCGCTTCTACACTTGGTTCCACTTTCAAACCAACCCCACATCCTGAACACTTTACAGTCTTTTTAACCATGTCTTTCCGACGCCAATTGTCCCTTTGACTTGTCTCACTCGATAATTACAAAACTCGAGCCCTGCCCTACGAAAAAGAGAAAGTCTAAGCTCTACTACAAAAATTTGCGTGTTCAATGTACGTGCGCTTCCCCCACGGGGTGGCAAAAGGAAAAACCAAACACACACACACGCACTAATAAATACCTGGTGACTGACCCCCGAAAAAGCCGTACAATAAAATAAGTGCTACAGGGATTTTAACTGCTGCCTTATAATTATAAGGACAAGCTCAAAACATGCAAAACAACTTATCTGCGCAGTCGATCGGGAGCGCTCAAAAAACACGTCCATCCACCGTGACAGTCCGAACCGAACTCGCCGGTGGTTGCAACACAAAGTGCCCTTAATAAAGCCACCGATAAAATAAGACCCATGCATTAGTTTTGGGGCCCAACGAAGCACTACCGAGGCTGCGTACGAAGAGCTGTTTGCTATTTTATATTTTTTAAAACTACAGCATTGTGCAAGCTGCGTGTTTTATCTTGATTTCGGATATCAATTTGGTGACCAAACTTTAGAATCGGGATTTTTCCATATAGTAGCACTTGTCCTTGTTGTTCTCTTAGTTCAGCGTTACCCTTTTTCGCGCTTCAGCTGTTTAAGACATGGAATACCACCTAGCCCGCTCCCACACCTTGCTTTACCATAGGTCGGTTTCTGCGGGCCACTCCAGCTTGAGAAAATGGAATGTGCTTGACACTCTCGCCATCAGCACGTTAGGCAACAGCACCGCGTGTCGCGATTTCGACACTGCGGGCACAAGTCATTCGTGCTAAACCTTTTTTTTCGACTGTGACTGTATACAAATGCTAAATAGCACTGTGTTGCCGTAACTTGCCTTTAAAGGCGCAAGCGGCTCCATCGCTTCGCCTTTTCCTCATGGCGCACACCAGGGTCCACTGGTTGAAGCGCGGGCTGTAACGCTCAACGGAAGCGGTACGCTCGCTGGCTGCGTGACAAAGGATTATAATTAGCAATACTTCTCTTGCGCAACCATATTTATGTTTTTTTTTAAAAGTCTGCCCTTGTGTACAAAGACTAGAACGAGGAGCATGCGCCAGTGGATAACCATATCAGTCTTGCGAAAATCAAGGCTCAGGACCAATATAATTTTTTTTCCTTACACGGTGCTCAGTGCCAACATTGTAATACTCAACGTGAAGCACCTCGGCTGTCTAATGAAGTCGCGCGACCTCACTTTCTTCTGTCACTCTGAGTACTTTGTCAGGTGCCAGTTATGGTCAGGAAAAGGTACTGAAAGAACTGGTTTCGCGGATATATAAATCACTTATGTAGTAGTTGAGTAAGAGCACAATCCGGGCCCACGCGCAGACTTGTCACACTTTGCGGCTGTACGGCACGTACCGTTGCGGCCTCCGACGGCGTACACGTAGGTCTTCCATGGCCACGGTGGAGACGTAGCCTCTCGCGATGTTCATGCTCGAGCAACTCTGCCACGTGCAGCTCTCGATGTCGAAACAGTCGCAAAAGCGCAAGTACGAGGCCCCCCGCATGCCACCCACCACGTACAGCCGATTGCGCAGCAATGCCACGCCGTGGTACGCCCTGCAAATGAAAGTAGTGCCCAGTTACTACGGATTTCTCGCCCAAGAGTTTTTCAAGATACACACTCGGTGCAAGCGCCACTTTTGTGCATCGTTTTGCTATGAACTAGATAAAGGACATCTGCAAAGCAAGATAGAATTCATTTATCCAAAATAACTATCCACGCGTCTATACCACTCTATTTCGAGATGCCCAACTTGAAATGTACTTCTCGCAAAAGCTCCATTCACAGTTACACGTTTGCGGGTTTCACGGACCTGCCAAGCGACACGGTAATATTGCTGCGCAGTTCTTCGTAGTTAGATATTTGGGGACCGCACGAAGGATCAGCATGTTTTAGAGGTTCCGCTATCTCACCTATATATTATCACAGAGTCGTGACGTGGACGAATGATGCAGGCTGTCCCCCGCATTCACAAACACTCTCCGACTCGACTTCCACCCTACACTTGACAGAGTTGAGCACTGCGCCACCACTCGGCTGAAAATGACGCTGCGCTACTCAAGAATCGCAGCAGCTTATCACCGATATGCAGTGACGTGCCGTGCCTAGAGACGGCGCTCCCATCGGCTTTCCCGAGTGAAGGTGAAGCATTGAGTGAAGCGACGTTCTAGAATACGGGGGTGTAGGTCTAATAATAAACTGTTTATTTGGGCAAACCTGTGCCCGATAAACGGAAAGCCTTGCACTGGTAGCGGTGAACGGAGCGTCGGCAGTCGAACAACCGACAAGTGGCGAAGCGCGTCGGCAGTTATACACTTGCCATAGGATGTTCTAGCGTTATCGTTAGTGGCGACGTAGGTTCCAAAATAATCTGAAATGTTCACGAAGTGGTCGTAATCTTAACAAAACGATTTACTACAGCCTCGAAGCTTTTCGAACATCGTTGGCGCGGTTGGCACGTAGTGTAACTGGGTGATAACAAAACATGAGGAAAGGAACGTGGCATTGCCCCTCTGAAAAAAAGACATCGTCCCAGTGCTTTAACAAAAGACGAAGGTACAGTAATAAAGACAAACAGTAAGTACAAGCAATAAAGCACATCAACAGCAACAAAAATAGAGTCCTCAGGTTCTCGAATGAAATGGCTTGAGGTGCACGGCATGGACGACTTAAGGTCGAGCACGGCGCCGTTGAGAGTTCGTAATGCCGTCGGGAACAACCTCGTAGTCAAGTGGACCAACACGTCGAGCTTCTCTGTACGGTCCGAAGTACCATCGTAGAAGTTTTTCACTGAGTCCACGTCGGCGTATCGGCGTCCATACCCAGACACGGTCACCGGGCTGGTACTCCCCGAAGCTTCGTCGAAGATTGTAACGGCGGCTGTCGGCCGCCTGCTGATTCTCGATGTGCAGGTGGGCGAGTTGACGAGCTTCTTCCGCACGCTGAAGGTAGACGGTGACGTCTAGATTTTCTTCATCAGCGACACGTTGGCAGCATTGACGTCGAGCGTCGTTGTCGGTTTCCTTCCGTAGACCAACTTGCACGGCGTCATATGCGTCGTTTCTTCTACGGCAGTGTTGTACGCTGAAGGTCACGTACGGAAGGATTTCATCCCACGTCTTGCTGCTCGACGTCGACGTACATGGTCAGCATATCGGGTGATGGTCTTATTGAGACGCTTGATGAGGCCATTGGTCTGTAGATGGTGGGCGGTGGTCCGGTGGTGACTTGTGTGGCTGTACCTTAGGATTGCCTTAGTTAGGTCCACCGTCTCCGTCAGTGGTGAGGACTTCTGGTGCTCCGGGACGCAATACGATGTTCTCGACGAAGAACTTTGCTACCTCGGTGGCATTGCCTTTGGGCAGAGCCCTTGTTTCGGCGTAGCGGGTGAGGTAGTCAGTAGCTACGACGATCCATTTGTTTCCGGAATTTGACGTCGGGAATGGCCCCGGTAAGTCCATGCCGATTTGTCGAAATGGCCGGCTAGGTGGCTCAATAGGTTGGAGAAGTCCGGCTGGCCAAGTCGGCGGCGTCTTTCGTCGTTGACAGTCTCGACATGTCCTGGCATAACGAGTGGCGTCAGCAGAAAGTTGTGGCCAGTAATACTTCCTGCTGTATTCTCGCGAGTGTACGCGAAACACCGAGGTGTTCAGCCATCGGGTCGTCGTGTAGGGCATCGAAAACTTCTGGACGTAACACTGAAGTTACTACGAGGAGGTAGTTGGCCCGATGTGGCGAAAAGTTTTTCTTGACGAGGATGCCGTTACGCAATAAAACAATGTCAGTCCTCGCTTTAATACCTTTGGAACACCGGCAGTATTGCCCTCTAGGTATACCAAAAGACTCTTGATGTCAGGGTCGGTGCGCTGTCGCTCTGCAAAATCATCAACACTTAAGGTTCCCAGGAAACAGTCGCCGTCCTCGTTGTCCTGCGTGCGGCGGTGGGTCGACGGGGCGCGAGATAGGCAGTCAGCGTCAGAGTGCCTTCGCCCTGACTTGTAAACGACACTTGCCGCGGAATGTTATAGCGTTATCGCTAGCGGCAACGTAGGTTCCAAAATAATCCTAAATGTTCACGATGTGGGCGTAATCTTAAAAAAAACAATCTACTGCAGCCTCGAAGCCTTTCGATCATCGAAGGCGTGGTTTGCGCTGAACCTAGTGCAATGGCGTGAAAACAAAACATGAGGAAAGAAACATGGCAATATTCAAGACATTAGACATGCAAAGATTAATTAGTTAATGCAAGTGAATAAAAAATATTAGCTTAAACTTGGTGTGTCTATGGAGAAAGCAGCAGCAGTTCAAACGAGCCCCTCTGCAAACCGCCGTAAGCGAAGTCCCTTCTGAACTTATGTTCCACCGATCGCTGTCATATGCACGACGCGAAGTGGCTGCTTGAGAACATGGTACCATGTCCAACATCATTATTCACCGAGCTTCTCTCAGTGCTATTTCTTGAAATGAAGTGGAAACCAGATATAAATCGAGGGACCAAAAGTGATACCAAAAGTTTAGACATTTCGCGCAGGGTGCTAAAAAGCTAGCACTGGGTTTCACAGACGTCAAAAGAAGTTTCTAAGTCCTCGTTCGTGAACGGAATAAAACGGCATCGCTCAATGAAAATGATGACCATGGGTGCGATTTCTTCTGGTCAGCGTTGACAACTGGACTAGCGCACTCTCGTGATTACTGTGAAATATCCTACTGGTGGACAAAGACACGGAAAGTAACGGAATGAATACTTCCAATCCTGTTCACGTCATTCTTCGACCACACAACTTTTCACGGTACATTGACTTCTCTAGTAACGTCCACATTGTCGAATAATTGAAAGCCCAGTCGCTATATCAGTGCGGTGTGAATTACTGGGACATGCATATAATGTGAGCGCGCCAAGCTTGCCTGGGCTTGAATCCCTGCATCTGATTCATAAGCCAGCGTCCGGCCCTGGGGTCGTACGTCTCAATAGTGTCACGCTCCTGGCCTTCGCTCCAGCCGCCCATCACGAAGAGCATCTGATACGGCATGCGCGGCAGCCAACGCTCGGGGTTCCGCGCCGCGCCGCAGCTCTCGCACTGGCGCTGCGGGAGCGATGCCGCTGCAGGAAAACGGTTACACGGCGTTATGGGGGAGCGGTTATATTAACCACGTGTGTAGGAAAACATTCAAATGTCATTGCTTGACGCAAGTGTAGCCACTATAAGTAGCGATGATAGTAGTGGTTCTTGAAGAAAAGGAAGAAGGCACCTAATTTCTGTCCGCCATAAGGTGACACGGCGCTGTGACTCGTAGGGGAAGGGACGACGATAGAGGTCACTTGACGCCGCAACTGCTTGCACTCAAGCGGTTTCCAAACAAGCCCCTTTAGCTGGAAGGTCAAACCTTGAGAAACTACGGGTAGCTGTCGTAAATGCTAGCGTCTTCTCCATTTGATAGCCTGCAATGAACTTCTGTGGTTTTTGCGTGCCAAAGCCATGAGACTTTTCTGGTGCAAAGTTTCAAGGCTTTTTGTTTTGTTTACTATAGTTTCGCTGCTTCGCTTGCACCTATATCAAACTACAAGCATGTTTTTAGAATTTCTCCTCCAAGGCAATGCGGCCACCGAGGCCGGCAATCGAACCCAGTGTCCTTGAGCTGAAAAGTGTAACACCTTAAACGCTGAGCTGCCACTGCTGGTAAACGAATCTAAACAGGCTATTTTCTCCTAGTGAGGCCCTGCAACACTCCTTGAGCGTTGACGGAAAAGGCTGCTGATCGGCAGTCGAGGCTCCCGAAAACACGCGAGCCGAATATTTTAGCGCAAAACACAGCCTGGAGTTTACTACAAATTCTGAAACCCAGATCAAGATCGTTTTCTCTTCTATAAGAACTTGTTTTTGGGCGACTTGGCGCTTTAGTTTGGTGAAAATTTCTTAACTGGTGCAGTGACAGGAACATGAAAATGAGCGGAGAAAAAAGAAAGACGGGCGCTAATCACCCGTCTGTTCCGTTCGTCCCTTCATTTTCATGTTACTAGCATCACACCAGTTTTGAACTGTTCAACAAGCTTTTTCCGCAGTTTTGCACGAATTCCTTCCGCTTTGCGTGCTATGAAGAGTAGCACAATTCCTCACAGATGGCAGCACATTATCTAGCAATTGCTGTTTGCTTGATCAATTGATTGATATGTGGGGTTTAACGTCCCAAAACCACTATATGATTATGAGAGACGCCGTAGTGGAGGGCTCCGGAAATTTAGACCATTTGGGGTTCTTTAACGTGCACCCAAATCTGAGCACACGGGCCTACAACATTTCCGCCTCCATCGGAAATGCAGCCGCCGCAGCCGGGATTCGAACCCACGCCCTGCGGGTCAGCAGCCGAGTACCTTAGCCACTAGACCACCGCGGCGGGGCTGTTTGCTTGATCAACGCCTCTGGAAAGGCATGATATGTTTCCCGCTAGATGGACATAATTGTCCGTTTTTAGAGCTCTTCTAAAGTTCCTGTGTATTTTTAGCAGTGATGGCTGCACTATCCCGGCCTTTTTCGACTTAGTTTGATGCCCCCCCGAATGCACCTACAAATCGTCGAATGGCTTGGTTTAGTCGTGACACCTGTCGCACAAAATGCGTTAAGGAGACTCCTTCTACTACACGGCATTTATGTAGTGTTTTTTTTTTCCCCGAAGCATCTGCAAGTAAAATTGTTGCTTTGTGAATTACAGAACAAAAAAAACATTGTTGCTTTGTGGCAGGACACCTACTTACCGTGCGGACGGCCCGGGTTCGATCGTCAATAGGACCAAATATTTTATTATTTATTTTATTTGCTTCTTTTCCGGTTTTCCGCGCACAACCAACGGTGCCAACGCCGACGGTGGTATTCCTACGACACAAGCTCTCTGTTTTGGTTTTTCGCGCACAACCAACGGTGCTAATGCCGACGGTGGTATTCCTACGACACAAGCTCTCTGACGCTATCGCGTTAACAAAGCACTTGCAGCATGCTTTAAGGCTATAGTTGGTTCTCGTGCCATATGCTACCCTGCTCAGCTTCCAGGGCTTTCATTGGGGCCAGAACAAAGCAATTGCTGCGTACTTTAAGGCTAGTTGGTTCTCGTGTCATGCCACCCTGCTTAGCTTCCAGAGGTTTCGTTGGGTCGAGAAGAGACAAAGCAATGGCAGCGTGCTTCAACTCCGCTCTTATCGAACGAATTAAGAAAAAACGGCGTCGGTGAAGTCATGAGGCAATAAGCTCTTTTAGTGAATGCTTTACATGACTGATTCCAAAACTCTAGCAGGGCCATTTGTAGGACCATTCGAGCGTAAGAGGTGTATGCATATTCGGATCTTGCATCATTCGTATGTATCGTCATAAATTATAGCTGCCCACACTCTGAAGCTCTGCGCTCTCTTCACGGTACACAAACAGAAGTAGGGCCACAGATTGGGCTAGTTGGTTGAAAATAATCTTGAAAGACCAACTGCCAAAAAAAGAGGGAGGAAGCTCACGCCCTGCAGCCTTTCTTTTTGTGGCCGTGTTCGTTGGCGCAATCCACCTTTTTCACTCTCCCTATGCTGCCCTCGGCCGTTTGGTTGATGTTTTGTAGGGACCGAACCGGTGTCGATAGAACGAAAGCCTCCGAGACCCAGATGTTTAGCGACATTCTGCTACGGGATGGGAGCATGCTTCGTGGCATTCTGCAGTGAGGTGTACTTGAAAGCCTGTACAATAAACGTCAGCGATAAATTCCGGATCTTCCACTCACGTCTTCGTGGAGCAGCGGTGGCCGCGACGTTGTTGCCGTCACCGTGGCCTTCGACAGAAGGGGCCGTCGCTTGCGCGTGCGACGAACGGCGAGTAGCTAACTGCACCAGCAGCCGTGGATTGGGCGCGCACAGGCAGGGGCCCCGCTGCTGTGCTTTTAACACAGCCTCTTTGTACGCGCGGCTGCACGCCAGCGTTGGATGCGAGCGGCCGAAGTCTTCCAGGGCCCTGAGAACGGAGATGCATACATGGTCAATGAAAGCGTGGCAGTGAAATCGCAAGAACACAATTAGCTTCGTTAAAGTAACGCCGGGAAGGCATGAGTGGCATACGTGAACGTAAGAAACATGGCATTGTGCACCGACTCACACATGAGGCTGTCCATTGAGGCTAAACACAAGGGAAGAGTTGGAACTAGCTGGTTTAGGTTCATATTGAAGTGGCATAAAAGATGAAGACTTCACCACACGAGCGCTAATCGCTTACAACTGAGCGCTCATTCAAATGAAATACGAAAAAATCAAGGCAAAAGGAACAGAGCACGCGTGCAGTCTATTTGCATGACACGAAGATTACAGGCTTGAAACCTTACGTCCTATCTAGGTAAGTCAACTCGTAATCGACCAACCTAATAGAGGCTACACTAACACACGCGTCGGCATTTTTGCCGATAGTGAAAGCTCCCGCTACCTCTCTTACACGAAAATCATTGTGTTCAAGGTGGGGTCGGGCACTGAACTACTGGATGCAACCACAGGCGGCAAAGTAAAAGTGTAACACGGCGCTCCCTTCAAAGAGCCATGGTGCACACGCAGGCGAACGTTGAGGCAGCGTACTTTACCAGGTTTGTAATCCCGTCGCAATCAACGTAGTAATGTGTACTTGCGACACGCCGTAAATACAAACCTTGCATGGACATGAATCTCATATCTTTCTAGGGCGTTAAGGATTCGTGCATATCACACCGTGGACCGTCTCGGTCGCAACCACTTACGCTGCACTGCAGAGACCGACCCGGACGGACTGCAGAAGCCTCGACAGATCAGCACATGCCTCATCGGCAGTGTCGTTTCTAGCCGAGGACCAACGTGCGATAGCATGTAGCAGGTCTGTCTCGTCCCGAACGTTCAGCTCGTTCGAGGTAAGCAGCTCGACGAGCAGCTCCTCTGGGACGTCCGGGAACTCGTCACTCGTGCGCCACACCTGCGTTGAACGGAGGGCGTCAAGCCGCAAGTCTAATTGGCTACTTTGTCCATGATATCATCTACAAACGTTAAATGTGGGCTTCACCAACGAGATGCCGCAATGAAGTATCTGCTTCGGAGCTTACCACACGTACTTTGTTCTACCACGGCCGCTGGACAAAAAACATCCAGCGGCCGTAGTTTTACATCTTTAACAGTAGCAGTGCATTTCAGTGGAACGGCCACCTGCTAACATTGTACTGACCGATCGGTTCTGATAGGACGGTGCAGCGCTCTAACAAGATCAAACTTTACGTGTGAATTCATCTTTCAAACCCGGTGAGTAATGCCCCAAACGTTTCAGTACATTCGCGGTACGCACTAAGATGGTTCAAAACCTCCTTGGTACGTAGTGGTGACGTAATGAAACGTCAAGCTAAGTATGACACAGGCATAATATTAGAGAGAATGTAGCATTTCACACCTGTGTGCGAAATGCTATCTACTAAATTTAAGCTACCTGTATGTGCAGTTCTATAGAGCAAAATAGCAAACGTTTCAGCAGCAAAGCTCTAGCAGGCGAGTGCCCTAGCTGATAGCCACGGTTGCTGTGAAATGTGAAGCACTCGCCTGGTCAAAGTGCTCGCGCACGTAGTTGAACACCGCTCGAGCGAAGTCTGGGCAGTGGTACCATTGTGCCAAAGTGGCCATGCCCAGGCAGTTCTCGATGGTCATGTGGCGCAGCAAGTAGTGCAGGCACTGGTTGCGCGCCTCGTCCATGAGCAGCATGTCCGCAGCGGCAAGGACATCAGTCACGTTGTCTGCACTGAGACTGAGCTGCAGCAGAACGAATGGCAGACGCGGCCGGTTACGAGGTTGACGCTTCGTACAGCGATGCATTACCGTGTGTTCTTGACCTTCAAAAACTCACTCATGAGGGTAAAGCATGTTCTCTAAGCATGTTCGCTAGTGAAACTGAAGCATGTTCTCTGAGTGATAAGATAAGGAAAGCAAGAGGCTTGAGACGCGACCACAGACTAACCCCCGTATTCTAGAACGCCCCTTCACTCAACGCTCCACCTTCACTTGAGAAAGCCGATCGGAGCGCCATCTTTAGGCAGGACGAGTCACTGCATATCAGTGATAATTTGCTGATATTCTTGAGTAGTACAGCGTCATTTTCAGCCGAGCAGTGGCGCAGTGCTCAACTCTGTCAAGTGAAAGGTGAAGGTCGAGTCGAGGAGCGTTTGTGAATACGGGGGTCAGCCTCGGAAACAAACGATCACTTATATCACGAAACGCTTGTGTGTCGTCATGTATATGCACCACCCGCAGATATTTTCGTTACGAAAAAAAAGCATGTTCTTTTTTTTCTTAAATAAGCATTTAAGCGAGCCTCTAAAGTATTTGCGAGCATTGTACTTAAACTACAAAATATTCATTTTGCTTTCTTAATACATTACGTCCAATCTCCCGCGCATAGCCACGAATAGCATAATTTCTTTGTGTAACATTGGACTATACAGTTGTTCAGCTACTGGGATCGTCCTTTGTCATGTGATGGTCACTACCACACAGTAACAATTGCGATGGAGGGAGAATTACCACTAAGACGATGTTGATACTGCTTCGAGAGACTGACGGAGTAAATAAAGCCCATTTGTCTAACTTACCATAGGTACATGCAGGGTTTTCGATTACGGGGGGACCAAACTTCAAAGCAGCGCCTTCATCACCAGTCTTCCTCCAAAACGAATTTAAAAAGAAAGCTTCGCAATAGAAAATGTGTGCCATAAGGAAAACCAAACGGTTTGCTTCTCTAAATGGCCTTACTTTCGTTCCCATTTTTCGTAAGTAAAAGCTGCACATAAATAGTTCGATTGCAACATCAGGGGCCCCCGATGGCCTTCATAGTCAATGCGCTAAGTCAACATAAACTTGCGCATTGAGTGATGAGAGTGCAAGTCCGACTGAGTAACATAGTGTAAAAGACTTGACAGCCACCTTAGACGAGTAAGGGGGAGCCCCCTCCCACCTAAATCAGCACAACGCCACAAACTTTCTCCCTGACGTACTGCGCCAGTCTGTTCACATTACAAGCAACAACACGCGTCGTCTGCGTCTTAATTAGTAGGCTCACCTTGCTCGAATAGCAGTAAGCCAGCAACGCAGCCATCGTGGGCGAAGACACGCCCTGCAAGCGAATGTCGCGACGGCCGCCATTGTTCACGGAGAAGAGGGCCTGAAAGACGGGACTCGAGGAGCACAGGAAACCGCGGTGGGCCCTGAACTCGCCGCCGTCGTCTGTGCGAATCACACAGTCCCGCGAAAGGCTTACGCTTTCGAGCGACAAGGACAGTTCATTCGCGAAGATCTCCCACATGGCCACCGGATGATCGAGCAGACGTGTCATTGCAGAAGGAAGGCGAGCGTGGCACGCGGCACGAGCAGATCGTGTTTGTTTGTTTGTTTCCCTGGACTCATGGCTCACACCCACTCGGGGGGATAGGCCAAGAAAGCATTTTTTTCCTGCAAGCGGGTGATTCCACGAGAGATCGACACGGGTCCAAAAGTTGATATTTTAGATTTCAATGAGTATTTTATATTTCGTGTACCTCTCACCAGCTAGCCCGAAAGTCAACTTCGTTTTATTATTGACGGCATAACTTACGAGAAAAAAAAATATCAAACTTCACCAACACGGAGGCACCAACTTCGTCACCTGCCATTTTCAAAAATTGCAGATGCTATAAAAAGACAAAAATTTTTTACCTGAAATGCATGTCTAATGAAGAATGAATTCATATGGTTTCAAGTTTGTAGACCTTGAGAAAATAGCTTTTAAAAATGAGTAATTTTGCGACAGTTTAAAATAGGTTACGTATTTCCCATTTTTTTCTACGAAAGTAATGCAAGCAGCGTTTTCAAATTTCATACGTTTTAAGGATATAGTGTGTTCATTAGGTACATAATTTATTGTTGCCGTAGGGCAAATTTAATTTTTTATATATTGCCTCAAAATTCTCATATTGGCAAAACTGTACTCCAGTGAAATTTGAATAATAAAAAACCCCATCTTCCATTTTTCTTAAAATCTCGTAAATAGACAACTGAAAGCCATCGTACAGTTAATATATAAAACGTGTTGCATTATTTGTTTTTAGCGACAATATTCGTGGTACAAATCAGAGGTATTTCGAGAATGCGCTGATAAGTTGAGAAATCTAGAATCGGAAACGGAAAGCTGCAATAAGCTGCAACGCGAGTAACGTGACCGCATTCGTGAAGAAAGGCTGTTTTATAGCACTGTGACAAATACGTACCCATGAAGGCGCATTTATGCTCTGCTAACACAGCTCTAATGGAGGAAATCTTCGACACTCTAACTCAGTTGCAAAACTCTGTCTATATTTGCAGATAAACTCAAACATGAAAATGTTCCAACGCAAGTGTGTGGTCTCGCTAGAAAAAGCATAGGCGCTTGAAGTACCCTCACTGGTATTTGTGTGGTGACTGCGGTGAAACAAGAGATGCGCTCAAAATGACTGCATCTTTTGCAGATCATATTTAGCAGTACGTGACGCTAACCAAAACACGACCACGATCAGTGCCCTCAGATGTGCTTAGCCAAACATGCCAAGAACGTATGCCTAGAACACGTGGCAACAATTCCACTGGCTATTACTTAAACGACGGAATGTTTCTAGCTCGTCTGCATTTGCACACAGCAGCTTGACATTCTTGAGCTTCGCGCTCATTTGCGCCACCATTTGGGATGTTGACATAATCACAGCTGAGCTTGCCACTCTGAGGTTGTAGACCGTAGCCTGATGCTTTAGTAGGCCACCAACGCCGTCACAAGAGTTCTTGCCATGTCCTGTGGCTGAAAAAATCCACTTTGTTGATATATGACCGTTCTGACATAACTCGAACAACTGGTACTTGTTTTTGAAGTGACTGCTTGCACCATCAGAAACGTAAGTAACATGCGTGTCAGACTTAAGCTGTTCCTTCATATAGTGGTGGATTATTTGTAGAGCAAAACAGGCATGTGCAGCATCATGGCATGTGTCATCACTGATGACGGCAAAACTTTGAATTGATTGCTTCCTTGTGACGACACACGTGAATATAGACACCTGTCTTTTGTGCCAGTGATACGGCTGTACCTCATTCGGTAAAATGGCTGTCCAACTTTCGGCGAAATCAAAGTGATAAATGCAAGATTCTTTTTCTTGGTTCTCTTTCGCCTGGCGCATTGCTGATTCTTGAATGTATCTTATATGTAATCATGGGTAATCCCCTTCACGAACTATAGACTTAGATCTCGCAGAAAAGCACTTGTCTGGGCTGTTTTTTTTTTACTAGATCACCATTTTCCTATACTGCATAGGCTACCTCAATATCTTCAGGGATTCCTAAACATGTGGCTGTCAGAGCGTCCTCCTTAGCACAATAGTCACAATGGCCTAAAAAACAATCACTTGTAGGGGAGCTGCAAAGACGTCTTGACGTCTTGTCATCGGTGACGTCTTGTAGGGCAGAAACACACTCCGTGGCATTAGTACAGTAATATACAAAGGCACACTTCTTGGTGTGGTGCAAGAAGAACCCACTTCGGCCTCAGTGAATAAAAATTTGAGAGCCCAATAGACGTGTTCGGATTAGCTTCTTTAAAGAGACGGTAAGCCTCTCGCACCGAACGGGTCATAAACCTTTTCGAAACAAGCTCCTTTTTTTCTGTCAATGATAACAGATACTATAACAAACATTGTTAGGACTCTGCCGAGAGCAGCTATACTCATCTGCCTGGACGTCCATTGGGTTCAGCCGTGTCCTTTTACCGCATTTGGTGTAACCATATCCCGCGTTTTGCGCGCCAGCGTCGGGATCTGTATATCATGTAAGCTGACAAGTTTGGTATAAGCGCTTGGAGTTTTCGGCGCTCTATATCGCTCCGCAACAGTGTCAACAAACGCATGCGCTTTTGATACGAAGAACACGCTTCATAGGCTTGCTTGAAGTTCTTGAACCACTGGCACACACACTGCATTTAGATCTGATGGTTGAAAGTGGCGGTACACACGTTACGGTGGCATTTCACGGTTACTGTAGAATTGCTGCTAAGAAGTCTTGGCTCTGCATGAACTTTGCTATTTTGCGCATGCAGCTTCTCCAGTCGCATATGTGACAATGCTTCAGGCGTGTTTACGCACCGCTCTTGACTTCTGCCTTTTTCTTCTTCGGCAAAAAACTCACAGCTGTTTCAGCTGAGAAGTCATTAGACGAAGACAGCATATCTCTGAGGCGTCTGAAGCAGTTCTGGCAGACGTGGTCGTTGTTATGTGCATGGCGGGCAGCTTTCAGCAAAAGCTTCTGGAGGGCAAACAGGCCGATGTCTTCGACCTTGCGGAAAATTCTTTGATAAGGTATTTTCTTTTTAAGCAACATGAGGTAATCTGAACAAAAAACTCTATCCCGGCTGAACTTGTCAGCCATCGCCACGCTCCTTGAGGCTCAAATTACTGGAAATGCAACTATGCGTGAAACCAGCAGCACGAAAGTGATCTATCTGTCGTCTGTTCCTATGTCTCTCACCTTTAATGAGAGCAGACGTAAAACAGCGTGCGCAAGTATCCACAGTGAGAATGCAAAACTGAAGTATAGTACGTTAAAATGAATTTCACAATGTTTTTTTTTTTTTTGTTGATAAAATTACGGGAGGCGTAATCTTTGTCCCTACTTTGAACCATAAGATCTAAAGCATTGCCTCCGAGATGAGGCGCACAGCAATTCATCTGTAGAGCAGCCGACAGATGACAACTTGCCCTAAAGCGTATTCTTCAGTCTAATGCGGCAGTCCTCGTGCCCCAAAAGATAAAAATTTTTTATGAATCGTTTATGAACTCATTCAACATTCAATTCTCTTACCCAAAGTGTTGCAAACACGTGGCCGTCACAGCAGCTCCATCTGTGTGTCAGTAATGGAGAGGCACCACATATTAGAAGTCTCAAGTGCTCTACGTATAAGAGTGAATCAGATACTGTAGAATATCGTGTTCAAATAGTTACTCCTATCTGCTAAAACAGCCTTTCTTCACCAATGCGGTCACGTTTACTCCGCGTTTGAAGCTCATTGCCGCTTTTCCGTTCTGATTTCTAGATTTCTCAACTTATCAGCGCATTCTCGAAAAGCTCTGATTTGTACCACGAATATTGTCGCTAAAACAAATAATGCAATATATTTTTTTCTATATTACTGTATCATGGCCTTCGGTTTCTTGTTGCGCATACGTGACTCGGGCAGGGTCACGTGCACCGATGTACTCTGTCTTTTCCGGTTTTTCGCCATTGGCTGCTTGAGCCTAGCACTTCCAAGCGATGAGCGACGGTTTCCAAATCTGGAGAACCAAGCGATCGCGCGAAAACGACACGCGACACGTCGCGCGAACGCCCTGTTTCGTCGCTCATAGCGTCGCTCGTCGCTGTCGCGTGTATTTTCGCGCTTATCAGGTTTGCTATTAATTAAGAGGGAGCCCCCGTCCCACCTAAATCAGCACAACGCAACAAACTTTCTCCCTGACGTACTGCGCCAGTCTGTTCACATTACAAGCAACAACACGCGTCGTCTGCGTCTTAATTGGTAGGCTCACCTTGCTCGAATAGCAGTAAGCCAGCAACGCAGCCATCGTTGGCGAAGAGACGTCGTGCAAGCGAATGTCGCGACGGCCGCCATTGTTCACGGAGAAGAGGGCCTGAAAGACGGGACTCGAGGAGCACAGAAAACCGCGGTGGGCCCTGAACTCGCCACCGTCGTCTGTGCGAATCACACAGTCCCGCGAAAGGCTTACGCCTTCGAGCGACAAGGACAGTTCATTCGCGAAGATCTCCCACATGGCCACCGGATGATCGAGCAGACGTGTCATCGCAGAAGGAAGGCGAGCGTGGCACGCGGCACGAGCAAATCGTGTTTTGTTTGTTTGTTTCCCTGGACTCATGGCTCACACCCACTCATGGTGATTGGCCAAAAAAGCATTTTTTTCTGTGAGCATTATAACTATGTGCAAAAAATTTGTATTATAATGTATGACGCATGCAAGAAAAAACCACATAAAAAAGAGCAAATGAAAAAAAAAGGAGAAGTCAAGTTGAGAAATTTCGAGATTTCAGGTGTTGTGATTACCACTCAGCTGCGTTTACTTCACCTCACGATTTAGAATTTTTTCGTTTTTTATACTAAAAACTTATTTGATTGAAGATCACAAAGAGATACGTTTGGATGCTTGAATATAATCGCAAACGGCATTGAAAGCATCATCCCTGTGGCAACGTCCCAAACCTGAGGCACCAAAACTTAGTGCAGTTTCCGCCATCAATGTAACGCCTATTTTCAGAAATGGAATAACCAAAAGCCTTTTTCTAAGCATAGCGTATCGGCGACAATACAAAAAATATTGATGTTCAATTTGATTCTATTTCTCCGCAGAATGCGCAGAAAGGTTATGTAGTCTGACCAGCTCTGGCTAGATACAGGTTCAGGGGGGGGGGGGGACACGACATCGGAATTTAGTAATTAAAACTTCGAGCTTTCTGGACTGGCTGGACTAGCTCCAGTGGGGTCGCCATGGAAACTTGAGGTGGTTATATCCTGTCCATGTAGCAGCTCGTGGGAATTGCCGTGTCGTCTTCGTCTAATTGCGTCGGAGAGTGATCGACGTATGGCGTGAATGTTGCGTAAGTAGATATGATTTTGGAGTGCTAATTGTTGTATTGTTTTAATTCTTCTTATTTATTGCATGAAGGAGAAAGAAGCATTGCCTTCAACGAGTTGTGGGACGCTAGTGTTGGGTTGTGCCCAACTCCCGGTTGAAGGCACTGTCGCTTCCATCGCATCTACTTGAGTCAAGCAAAGCGTCAAGTCAAGCGAAGGCCAAGTGAAGAAGCCCTTGACACAGTTGCCACGATGCGCGAGCATGCGACACGAGGCGCGAGCATGCGCCGTGAAGGTATGGACGGCGCCGCAGCGGACGCCGAAGAGCGGCGAGGTGCGACTTAGAAATGATCCGCATTTAAAAAAAAAAATGCGGAGGCTACATTGACTAAGGCAGTGGCACTCACACGCCGGTGTTCGTGTACCATGGTACATTGAGTTGGATTAACGGAGTGTTTTGTAGTTTTGCGAAGCGGATCTCGGGGAGCACGAAGAGAGAATCTCGTGGTTGAGAGAGAAAAGAGAGAGAGAAACATTTTATTAAGTACATTTAAGCAAAGCATGTGGGAAGGAAGTCTAGTCCGGGTTCACTATGACGATCTCGGCGACCAACCTGGCCCGTTGAACCAAGGCCTGGCGGACCTCGGGAGGTCCATCGCAGAGGGCATCATCCCACAGCTCTATGGTGCGGAAGGGGTGCAGGATACCGGGAAGGGGAGAAAATATTTTATTGGCGCACTCACCCGTGACATGAAATACTGTTGCGGAGCTGCCACAGCCCGGGCAAGAGTCCTCGTAGCGGTCAGCGTATAATTTATGCATGAAGAGGAGGTTGAGGAACGTATGCGTTTGATCTGCTCCTCCAGCTGTCGCGTCGATCTCGTGGCAGCTGTCCTAAAGTCCCTAGGAAACCAAAGTAGAGCAATTCATGTCAATGTGCAGGCTCCTCTCCCCTCGCGTGCAGAGCAGATAGTAAACGACGCTAGTTGAGAGGCTGTGTGGTTCCTGGCCACACAGATGGGCGTGTGCTCATCTTTCCGTTAGAGCTCATTTGGGCGCTGCAGCTCTGGGCGATGCACTGAAATAGTGATTGAGGAAGAAAAAAATATAAAAAGTAACTTTAAGTACAGTATTTGACGTGTATATAAGCAAGTTGCATGCAGTGGCAAAAAGCATTACCGCAAGCGTGCAATACTCAATGCGATAGCCCACCGTTTGCGTGCAGACGCGCTCTGCGGTGACGCTCTCGATGGAAATGCCACTGCTGTCCGTGTAAACTCGGTGGTGCTAAGAATCTGCAGCATGACGCACTAGCCTATGTGAAGGTATCGCAAACGTCACATTGTTTGTCCACTTTCGCGAGCACGCGCTCCACGAAAAGACGTCACCGGCGTACCCTTTCAGCATAAAGGCCAAACCACGGTACCGCCGCACGCCCGGTTCCGCTCCGTTTGTTTAGAAAAAATTTATTGCCACAAACGTCAATAACACTCAACAGAACATTTCCTTCTCAGACATACTCTAACGATGATGACAAAATAGACGTCATCTACGTGAACATGGATATGAGATGACGTTGAAAGAACATGTACATTCGATGGTTCACACAAACACAACCACAAAAAATACTTCAAGGTAAACAAGAGACACAAGTAAAACATAAATATGCACATTTTGCATATTTACATGTTGCCATGCCATTTCTGCCGGCGCATTGACAGATCAGCCTACCAATACCAGGCTGGCCGAAAGACAAGTTTCACTCGTCCGTCATAGACCAACACAAAAGGGCAAGACTAGTGCCGAAGAAATTCTTCTTCAGCGAGGAAGAAGAGCTCCTCCGACAAAACAGACAGCAGCTCCGAGCACAATGTTCTAGGATCGGGTAGAGCACGCGGCGGCGGCGGCCCGTTGCAACCGCCTCGCAGCGGTTGCGCCAGAGGCAGAAACAGCCGGCAACAATGAGAAGACAAGCGAAGCGGCCTCGCGAACAACGCCCAGAAGAAACGAAGCGATTTACTCTGAGGCAGTGAAATCCGGCATGTACGGCTCTCCAAAAAAACGCGAGCAATGACACAATGCCTCAGAAAATGCTGATTTGTTTCCCGAAGGGAGCAGTTCGGACATATTGCTGACTGGACTATTCTCCACCTTTCGAGGCGGTCGAGAGTGAGAAGCACACCCCATCCCAGGCGCCACATGAAGTCCCGGAGGTGTCCAGGCAGAAAAGAAGCAGTTAAGGTGCTCCAAGACACCCGTCTAGAGCGAGCACGGCGGGCTGGCGGGACCAATGGAAGCAACAAAGCAGCAGTTGTCTCAACTATGTGGTTGTTCAAAACATCTACGCCAGGACAGCTCGACTTGACATGGCGAAAAAATGCAACAGTTGTTGCATAAAACGCAGGAAGTGCTATTGACTGCGGCCCCCTGTTAAGTTGCACATTAGGCATCAAATGCCGAAGGTGAGTACCAAGAAAGTAATATGCAAGCGTTCGTGCGGGAGATTCCTCCCCTTGCACTAGGCGCAAAAGGAAGCGCAGTGCCAGCAGCCGACAGCGTATGGACACTGAAGGGAAAGCAAAGCCTCCCTGAGAACGCTGCTGTCCCAGTGCTGCGCGAGAGACCAACTCAGTGCCACCTGACCAAAAAAAGGAACACAAAGCAGACTGCAGTGATCGCACGATACGTAAAGATGGTTGCACGACGTGAGAAAGGTACCAAATGCGACCGCAAAATACAGTCTGCGCTAGGTACCTCTGCTCAAGAAGCGGGAAGTCAAAATCCCGTGCATCCTGAATTTGCAGTCTTACTTCTTCGAGTGCGTTTAACCAAACAGATTCGTAAATGCCGTAGTGGTTGTATAAAATACCTAAAATACGAAGGGACGCTGCCGGCTGAATGGGAAAACCGGCGCTAAGCCTGGAGTTTGGAGAGCCAATGAAGAAATACCGGGATTTGGAGATGTTCAACGCTGCACCTCAAATGTCGCCATACTGGGAAAATACACGCAGGCTGCTTGAAAGGCTATCTTCATCTGAAAGGTACAAAGTTATATCATCAGCGAAAGCTATGACTTTCACGACACCGCTACCAGGAAGCGCAAGACCCCGGACACGTGAATCCGCGTCAAGAGCACGCAAGTATATGGCTCAAGGCTGAGGACAAATAGCACAGGAGACAATGGACATCCCTGACGGACACCACGTGTTATGGAAAAAGCGGCACTTTCCCAGCCATCCAGACCTAGTGTGCTTTTCAGAACAGTGTACGTATTTTTAATCATTTCCACAAACGAATGAGAAAAGCCGAAGGCTGTGAGCACATTAAGGATATACGCGTGCTCTAGTCGGTCAAACGTCTTTTCCTGGTCCAAAGACACAAGGATACCACGCGCAGATCGTGACAGAGTATAGGCTATGATATCCCGTGCGGTATATGACAAGCTGTGTATTTCTCGTCCAAGCACTGATGAAGTCTGGTGATGACCTACCAGTGTGTTCAACAGACCCCTCAAACGTTGAACGGCTACCACCGCCAATATCTTATAGTCAACGTTGAGAAGCGTGATAGGTCTCCAATCTTCAGGATTAACAGAGGAAGCATCACCCTTTGGAATAAGCACAATGCGTCCATCTCGAAAACTTGATGGAAAGACACCGTCCTCGTAGCATCGCCGGATTACCGCGGTAAAGGTAGCACCAATCTCATCCCAAAATGTCAAGTAAAACTCAACAGGAAAACCGTCTGGCCCACGGGCCGTTCCACGTTTCATAGATTTCAGTGCCGCCTTTACCTCTTCAGCTGACGGAAGGATGTGCAGGCAATGCGCAGCTTCTTGAGGAATACGGGGCAAATTTCTAAGCATTGGCGGTGTTTCATCACAGTTAGTCCGCATGGCCGAACACGACATTGCTTCAAAATGCGCCAAGAAAACAGATCGATCACGCGTAGGAAGCCGCTGCGCAGGTGGTATTTGTGCTGTCATAGAGACAGATGGCTCTGATTGCCCAAAAAAATTGCCCGCAGCTTCCCTCGGGGGAACACTGAGGAGGATGCGGAGCATATAATTGGTTAACGGGGTGTTAAAGTGCGACTTACTTGGGTCGATGGCTAAATTGGTTAACGTGGTTGTGAAATGGGGTGTTAAATTGCGACTTACTTGGGTAGCTGGCTAAATTGGTTAACGTGGTTGTAGGAGGGGTGTTAAATGAGTGAACACGTACTACAGGTATGCGAAAGGGCGGTGTTTATTTATTGCGACGAACTTTGAGCACGATGGCTTTTAGATGCCACTTTGGCCAGCGCTGGTCGAAGGGACGTCGATCATTGCGACCTCGGACATCGACGCGCCGTACAAACCAACCGACGAGCGGCAACTGAGCGAGCAAGCACCGACCTTGAGTATATATACAGCGCGACGGCGCATGCACTGTCAGCTGTCGAATGTTCGAGAAGGGGGAGAAGCGCAACGGCGCATGCGCGCGCGTCAGCTGCCGATGTTCTCGAAGCGCGACGGCGCATGCGCGCTACATTATACAGCTAGCGAATGTTCGTGAAGAGGAGAAGCGCACGCGGTGTGTAGAGGAGGAAGGGTGCACAGATGGTGGAGTGAAGCGCGCGCGGTGTGTAGAGGAGGAAGGGATGCACAGATGGTGGAAGAAGGAGGAGGAAGCTTGCGGACGGCGCCGCACTACAAGCCTCGAGTATTAGATGCTCCGCATCTAAAAACGAATGTCTCACGTAGCGCAGCACCTCGGGATGTGCACAAGGGTTGTGTCTACAGCGCCATGCTGCTGCCGCCAGGAACGAAGCAGCAGTCAAGCGTTGAAAGCGTTCACGCAGTTCACGCTGCCACGCTCGCATCAGAGGAGAAGGCGTCTCGGCGCGCAAAGTAATGCGTAACATCATCGCAGTATTATCAGCAAGCTCTTCAGAAACGCGTCGACGAAGCGAACGCCCCTCTACTGCGCAGCGCAGGCGCCACTGTGTTTTAAGCGCATCCCAATCTTCAGGACTAGACGCCGTGAGCGACACACGTATTGCGCGTGACAAATCCGATCTTGAGCGCGCGTCCTGCAGGACGCGAACATCAAGACGCCATGGCTTTTCCGAAAAAAAAAAATGGAACTTCGAGCTTCAGGACAAAAACTCCCAAGCATTTCCCCGAGGGTGAACATGGTGAAGTGCGAATACACGAGGTGATGCTAAGAGGGGTATTTATTAATTCGCTTTATTATATTTATTAATCACACTATGGTGCCTTTATGGTGCAATGGTTCCTGGGAATTGCAATTCGATCACACGGGGGAGTTTACGTCAACTCACTGGCGAATGCCAACGGATTTTAACTTTACTCCCCCTCACGACCCGCTCTCGACGGGAGACTGAGAGAGAAGGCGGGCGCGCGAGAGAGAGGGGTGGTGGTGGTAGTGGTTAGAATGAAGAGGAAAAAGGCACCTAATTTCTGTCTGCCTTCAGGCGACACGGCGCAGTGCCTTATAGGGGTGGGGGGAAGGAGGGATAAAAAGAATAGAAGGAAAATAGACGAAGAAGTAGACAGGCAAGCGACGGAAAAAAGAAGGAGATAGGAAAGTGGGGATCCGGTCGAAGCAGTACAAGGGCGGGGCGCCTCAATGCGAGAGCTGCACGGCGTCAGGAGACCGCGGAGGGCGAACCAGTCGGCGGGAGCTACGCTGGCGTCGGAGATCGTGAGGGCACAACCGTCCAGCTTGAAATCCTGCGAGCGAATCCTGAGAGAATCCTCGAATGGTGGTAGTCGTTAGAATAAAGAGAGAGGGGTGCGCACGCAACTGCAGCGAGCGAGGAGAGCGAGGAGCGAGCGAAGGGGGAGGGGGTATAAGCAATGCCACCTAAAAAAAAAGTTCAGGCCTGCTCACTGCCGCCGTGACGTCACGCGTGTTGACCGAGCCACGCGGGCAGCGCGTCTCGTCGCCTACCGCGGAAACAAACGATCGCTTGGAGTTCCACATATGTGACCGCTTTATTTTGCATTTTGCACTGTAATCAGCGCTGCTTTAAGCAATCCACGACGCTTTAACGTTCGTTCTCACTTATACACATAGCGGTGGCAACAACAAAATGACGTCGGCCTCGGAAGTTTATAATGAAGAAAAATGAGTACGGCACACATTGGATTTGCACATTCATTTTACTAACATTTCATCTGTTGGCCCAGCCTTTGTCAAAGAAGTACATGCTTTTCGGTTTCCTTATGTACAGACTATAAATAATAGTGTTGCGCACAATAATCACAAAAAGCATGAAAATTTGAAATAGCGATAACGCCGGCGAGGTTGATCATACGGCAAGTTATATGTAATTGGTGATTACAGACACATGCTGTGCTCGCAATGATACAGATAGATGGCGCGTGACAAAAAAACAATCAGGTTCAAAGCTGGTCGAGTTCATTATTGATCATCATGCCATATAGGTGAAGCAGAGCCCTCTGAATGAAAACTCTTAAGGGAACAAAGAAAACACGCGCTTGCTACACTCGCAACTAATTTTATCAATCGCTAGTATACTAAGCATTGCAATGCAAAACACTCCAGCGCAATATACAAAACACTGAAATGAGGCAACCAGGTGGCATACAGTAAGTACAGAAACAAATCATTGATTTACTAAGCAATATGTTGCAGACCACTCGAGAACAATAAAAAGGCGAAGATGATAATAAAGCCTCGCGCAACCGTGCAGGCAGAATGCAGGTGATACACGCTTCTCAGTAACCGCCATAGTAAGCAATATGAATGGCGAGGGCTTTCATTGGCGTGTACGGTAAAATACCCTGTTGTGCAGAGACTATGAACACTACAGTAACATAACTTAACTGTATGAAAAAAGAATAGATGAGAGTTTTTGAAGAAAAAAGCTGTGTTCTTCACATTTTCAATGTACATAGAACGCACAAAAACTTCCTGTTCATTTTGAAAACTTCTGCAGCTTCCTTTGCTGTGACTGCGTTTTTTTTTTTTAGTGTTCAAAATACCTGTCTTCATCTGAACGTAGTTTTTCAGAAGGGTGTTTGCTGCTGCCACAAGTATATTAGTCAGCACAGTGTCAGGGTGATGACCATTGGTACAGACATCAAAATCCTCACATTCGCAAAGGTGCCTTGTGATAGACACAAGGACCTCCCTCTGTTTAGGAGTTGCATGAAAACGTGAGGCATTCTCTTTGCTGGTAAGCTGTTCCAAGACAATGTGGGCGTGTAGAACTGCATTAATGACAGTCAGCTGGGGAAACTTCAGAGCGCCTCTCGAGAGGTTTTCAATCAGGACATTTCTCTCAAGCTGAATTTCCCGGTCCTGAGATGTAATATTCATGGCACAATACTCACAAGGCAGCTTCTTTAACGCGGCGTGTGCACAAAATCCTGCAATGTACGTAATTACTGCCAAATTGGACTCCTTATTTTTTATATCACAGTCTGATATCCTAACACCGTACTCCTGTGCCAGTTGAGCTCCGTCAAATGTTATAGCACATGGCTTCTGTATTTCCTGCATATCGGGCAAAACCAAACTGTCTTGTAGCCTCAGCTTCTTTTCTGACTCGAAGACTTGCTGTATTTATATGTGGTAATTTGTTCCAGAGAGCCGGCGGTACTGTCCGAACCTTTCCACCAAACTGTCGGTCTGAAATTTACCCAGCAAGACATAGTTGAAATTCAGTTCTTCAAGACAGTACCGGCACAGTTCGTTAAGCGAGTACCAAGTAAGCCGCAGCGCTGCATGGGTTTCTGTGGTTAATGCCCCGGTATCCATCCTGATGTCTCGCCACGTGTCCAACCAGTCTACGAAATTGTTAAGAAATTCGATCTGCTTGTCACTCAAACTCCTTACTGGATCCTGAAGCGGATCTCTGAGGCGCCGGCCCTTTGAGGGGCTTTTTACATTGACAATATGCCACCACTTCAAAATTAGGTCAATGAATTGCGCTGTCCCCGCGGCGTAGTTCAAATTGAGTTCGTTTCCGCGAATTTTTAGCGCCTCCGCCACAAATGAACTGAAAACTTTCAAAGCAAGCTTCACGTTCTGGCGCTCAATGTTGGATGGATGCAGTGATTTATAGCTCAATCCATAGCCAAACTTTCAGACACTGTGTTGCTCAGAAGCATGCAGGTCCCGAAGAGCTTTGAAAAAAGCTCCGTTTACCTGAACTAACGAGAAAGTGCTGGGAAATTCAGGGAAAAAGATGCACGTACCAGGATTTTTTTGGTTCAACCAGTTGTTCCTTACACATTTTAGAAGGTGTGCAGGATCTACCACATAAAAAAGGGGTCTTGAATTGTCTGCTGGGTGGGGGTACACAATGTCAACTGTTCGCGTCTTAGAAAAAAAGGACATCACCTTTCTGTTTATCGAATTGTTGTCTGTGATTACTGCGATGACAGTAAGCCCTGCTTTCTCCAGCTCTAGAATTGTCTTTCTCAGGGCCTCATGCAGTTCAACTGCTTCGATGTTAGCCACTGGCAGAATGTGAGCGACATCCTTGTGCGCTGATAGCAAGGACTGTATCATAAAAACATGAGCAGTTTTGGCTGCTTCTTCCGAATTAGAAGCCGCCCCCGTCACCCAGCCACCTTTGTATTCAAAGTATGGCTGAATGTGGGTTTCATCCACCATTAGAGTCACAATCTTTTCATGTGGTTTGAGAAGGCTTGATCGCTTCTTCACATAACGTAAAAACCCTTCATCGTCCTGCTCATTTGCAGGGTTCACGTTATATTGCGAACAGATTTGCACGAGCGTAGATCGATGTGGCAGTGCTACCTTGCCAGCGCTGCGAATGAATCTGTAGGCGTGTGGGGAAATAGTGTACAAAATGCTAGAGAATATCAAAAGGTCAGCAGAGTACCGCACTGAGTGGTCATTTTTCTGCAGTAGCTCAAGCTGTTCCTTGATAAATCCAAGGGTTTCTATTTTCTCCTGCGGCAAAAGATCATCTGAACTGAGGCTGTCCAGCAAGGAGAACAACAAGTTGAAAGTTGCCTTCACTTTGTCATCCTTTACACAAACGTCTGGGCCCCTGAAACGTCTCACACTGTCTAGTGCGGTCTGCAGGCAGCGCAGATCGCCCAGTCTAGATGGGATGAGGAGATCTTTCCTAGGTAGTTTCGCCTTCCTCCAGAAAGCCGTAACCTCCATGTTCCTGCTGACAACCACAGATCTTTCAACTTCCGGTGGATCTTCGCCCTCTACATGAAGAAACAGAACAGCGTTTGCTGCTTGTACTGCTGTCCAGTAGCTGGAGAGGTCGACGCGTTGTAGTTGCGATACAAGGTCCTCGTATGACTGCAGCTTATTTAGACGGTCCTCTTCTTCGTGCGAAGAAATGGACTGTCGAATAGCTTCCTCCAGATGCGATGCTTCGCGACGTTTCCGCTTTTCCTCGGGCTCCTCGCGCACTGGTGCGCAGTCGCTCAGGTAAGCAGGGGAATTTGGAAAGATTGTCGGCACTGCGTCCGGAGTAAGCCGAGTGGCACCCATGGCAGCTTCTATTTTCCTGCCGGTTCTAGGATCGGTGCACGTGGCGGTCGTCCTCAAGTATTCAGGCTTGAAATGGAGCTCGCATACCTGCACACCATTGACAAAAATAAAATGCATTATTAGAGATTTTCTCCTTCATATCCCCCTCATTTACTTGGCTAGAAAATACGGAAATCTTAGCTCTGTACAGACATGCACATATCAATGAAAGGCGGCAGCAGACATCTGAAGGAAATTTATTGATTACGGGGTTTAACACACCGAAACTGCACAGCTAGGCGATGAGGCGCGCCGCAGTGGAAGGCTTCAGGTCAATTTTGACCACCCATGGGGACCTTTAACGTACGCTTAAGTCTCGTACACACTATCGTTTTTGCTTTTCGTCTCCTTCAGAAAAGCGGCCGCCGCGGCCGGGAATCGAACCCGCGACCTAGCGCTCAGCAGCACAACGCCTTAGCCACTGAGCCACCCCGGCGGGTCATTTCAAGGAAACAAAGTAACGGAAGCGGCTAGCGCGATGGGCATGCAATTACAAAAGCGCAAGAAAGTCGCGGGTGCAGCATCAAGCAATAAATAACACATGGATTCATGTGATTACGCCCCTCATATTTCTCAATTAAAAGTCGGAACTGTTACAGAAGTGCGTGGTGCCCTGCGGCAACATCGAAATTTCAACGACAGCTCTCAAGATAATTGCATAGCAATCGAAGAAAAGAAAGTGTGCTCTGAGATATCTTTCAAATACTCGTCACGAAACGTTGAGTGATAAATAAAACAACACGCTCTTTGATGCAACTTGTTGTCCTTCCACAGACTTTTTCCTTTTCCTGCCTACCTTCGTTCTAACGACGCATATGACCCCTTCAAAAACATATTTACACATAGATGTCACGCTGCAGAACGGCCGGCTAGGAAGCAGGCAAGCAGAAAGGTGAACAGAAATGAACTCGGCCAGTGAAGTTCACGAGTTACTCCTAAAGAAATGAACGACAACGCACTCGGCGAGAACGAGTGCCAGCCGTTTCCCGCATGCGTTTTAATACTTGCATCTTCGAAATTTCTCGACGGTGCACTGGAGAGCAAGTATAAGTGAGAACAAACAGCAAAGACGAGCGTTGCGTGAACTTAGAATGCGTCCCGGCGCTTCTAGAAAGAACATCACTTAAAACATGCGGGCCACCTTATAGCCATGGCGGAATTCCCATCACAACAAAGCGGCAAAGCCAAAGCGAATGGTTCAACACAGAAATGAACACACGCGGAAACATAACAAAGCACAAATTACTCAACAGCGAGTAATGAAAACGTATACATACCTTTGGAACGCGGAGAGAACGACTATCGACGTCATTTCGACGAACGGCACGCTCCCATACCACTCGTCGGGCATCCTTGGGGAACGAGAACACTCGAACTTTTGGTCCGGTGTCGTGGTTCCCGCGACAATTCGGCACGCAGCATCGCCCCATTACGACAGTTAGCAGGCGAACATTCGGTTAACGACCAAGCACATCACACCATCACGCAGCTTTTCACATATGCAGACAAACACCTCTTCTCAGGCCGCCAGAAACACCACAACAGCGTAACAACAAAAGACACCACCACACCGCGTCAACGGCTCGCCAGGCTTAGCACGCCGGCCAACTCGAACGGCGCGGCACAGCAGCGCGAGTGGCACAGCCACTCGGCGGAAGCCGTAGGTCAAAACTGAGTGACGTCACAGGCCACGACCGGAGGAGCGGACAGGCCTGATCCCGTTCAAGAGGGCGCTGGTATAAGGCGCGTTACTGACACCGATATCAGCGTCGCGTCCGTGGCTTATTCGGTAGAGCGTCGCGCTGCGGCCCGCCAAGTCCTCTTTCTTTTAAAGATAAAGAGAAGACTGCGGACGCCGCCGACGGCAGTGGATGGTTTGGGGTCGCTTATAAAGTGTATTCACACTTAATAGGCCGATGATCAGATACGTACACAGGAGAAGGTGGGAAGGACGGAACGCATAAATCGGAGACAAACGCCTCTAACGCTCGTGGGATATAAGCCCGGTCGAGCCTGCTGGAGGATTTTAGGGGCGAAGCTCCTTGTAGCGGCACCCGTTCATCCCTCGTAGTAAAGTAGTAGTAGTAGTAGTCGTAGTGTGTAACTAGTCTTACATTTTGACTTGCAAGGTGGTGCCGGTTGGAGATTTCTCCAGTGCGCTGTTGAACAATACAAAATTCGTAGCGTGCGTGTTAACTAAAAGCCGAATTCTCCTGTCTCTCATTCCCCATTAGCAGCCATTGGCATGTACATTGAGCACTATCTGAAAAGAAAGGGTTGCTACGTTATACACGCTGGACGTAGCCTCCTTGGTTTTAGAAAGATTTAGCGAGCGTTGAGCTGCAGTGTCATATATACAGTGAACTAGTATATACCATGAAGTCGAGGTGGTTAAAGATGGGAAGTAGACACGAAGCGCAAGCCGTAAGAAAGTGTGCCTGTGCCACTTCTCGTTTATTCTTTGGAATGTCCGCTGCATGGCGGTGCTTCTATATGAAAAATTTATGATGAAAAGATGCGAGATGGTGGTACTTGGAGTGTTGAATAGACGGACGAATGGACACACAGACAGATGCATGGACGGAGACACGAATGGATGGACGCATGGACGGACGCAGGGGCGGATGCATGGACGAACGCCGGGACGGACGCACAGTTGGACGTGCGGACGCACGAACAGACGCACGCACGGACGGGCGGATGGACGCTCGGGCGGTCACACAGACGGACGCATGGATGGACGAAAGCAAGAACGAATGGACGGACGGTTGCTTCGCCCCACTCTCCATCATTCACTCCGTGGATATGCTGCCTTTTTTTACTGTGCGGGCCTGGTTTGCGACCGGGCCAAATGCGGCGACAGCTTTTCGGCTTCGGCTGGAGAGGAGGAGCCCACACGCGCTCTAAGTTGCTGATGGGATTTTAAAAAAAACGGTGGCCCATTACATAATCACGCAAGCCGGTCGCCATTCGTGAAAAATGGCGCTCGGCTGAATCGAGTGGCAAGGCCTAGTTGGCAACCACTCGATTGGC